GATTCTGATAAAGAATTAAATTTTAAACTTAAGCAAGGATTGGCAGACAAAATCCCAATGGGGAGGGTAAATATTTCTCTGATTTACTAACAGCCAACAGAACCATTGAAATCTTTGTTATAGCTGAGCACAAGGGTTTTCCTACAGAATATTCTAAGTCCTCAAAACCTGGTTATAAACTTTTTAAAAATTTTATTTTTTGAGTGTTTTGCTTGCATGTTTGTATGTGTACCCATGCCATTCAATGCTCTTGGAGGTCAGAAGGTATCCAATCTCCTGGGACTGGACTTTAGATAGTTGTTAGCTTCCATGTGGGTGCTGGGAACTGAACCCCGGGCCTGTGCTCTTAAACTGTTAAGCCATCTCTCTAGACAGTTACAAACTTTTGAGTACCTGGTTATTTAAAAGAAGTCTAAGCTTACTTTTATAATAAAAAAATTAAAACTGTTTTACAAATAAAGGTTATGTGCTAAGCAGATAATACAGTGATTATTTTCTAGTATGTTATTTGCCTGTAGCCTGTTTTCTGATTTGTTTCCATTTCTCATTTCTCCGACCCAGACTAATTCTAAAGAAAAAAAACAAAAGCAGAAAAACCAAATTTCCTTTCTCAGAATTTCTCCAATGAGGGAAACTGACTTTGGAAGTAAGAGTCCAAAATCTCCAAGTAAGAGAGAAACACATATCTGTCTAGCTTTCCAACTATCCTTATCAAGACTTCAGAGATTCTGTTCTGGAACTTTAGTAACCATGAGAAGACAAATTTATGATGAAGTCATTGTTAGTTACCTAGGAACAAAGTTATATCCCTATATGTCATGTGATCAACACTGAGGTGTATAACACAATGTAGTCTCTAGCCTTGGAGAACTCTTTCCCACACCCCATAACTATAGCAGCAAAATGTAAAAAGCAACTAATTACAGTACTTGGCATGAGGACAACTGGATCATAATAGCCACCAGTTCTGTAAGAATTCCTCTATCTTCTCATAAGCAAGTAAGCATTTGAAGTTTCCTCAGGAAACTCAAATTCTCTTTTGTTTCCTCTCTGACCAATGACTAGATCTGGAGAACTCTGTTCAAAGCCAACAGACCCATTCACTCATGCCTACATTAATTTTTCTTTTGTTTTTTCCCTCCCTCCCTCCCTGGTACCTGGGGATTCTACAGTGAACAAAACAGATAGGATCTTTGCTTTAGAAAGCATACACTCTAAAAACTCCATGGGCTGGGGGTGTATCTCAATTACTGAAAACTTCCTCTAAATAACTTATCATGCTAACAGTTATGATTTTCTGAATCCAACCAACCAAAACTTACACAACCACAGATTTTTCTGTGGATTTCTACTTCTTGGTGAAAAGAAACATGTCAGGAAAGATAAAGGGGATTGTTTACTAAAACTCCTAGGCCCCCTAACAGTCAAGTGTAGACCTGCATGGGCGTAGCAGTCTACAATTACAATTCTACATGAAAGGTGCATGCATGTATATATGTGTATGTGTGTGTGTGTGTGTGTGTGTGTGTAATTATTTTCAGCCAGTACGACCCGTTAATAGAGTGAATCTATGCAATAAAAAACATCTGATTTTTTCTTGTAACCTTCTTGAGTTTATCAAGGTAGATCTAGAAGGAACTGTAGCCAGGAAGCAAGGAGAAATGCTAAATTGCTCCGCATAGTAAAAAGTATTTGGACTGGGGCCTTGGAGATGGGCAAGGACAATTAGAAAGCCAAGAAAGTGAAGAGAACAGAGCCACCAGACTGCAACAGCCTGAAATTCTCCTTTGATGACAGCCAAAGATGGGCCTTACTGTATACTCAAGGCTGACCTCAAACTGAAGGGTGACTGTCTTACCTCAGTTTTTGAAATGCACAGATTTCAGATGTGTGCCACCATGCCCAGCTCCAAAATGCATCTTTATATACCTGCAGGAGCCTGAAATCTTCAACGTCAACACTCTTGACATTGCTATACTATAAATCCCATGTGCTGGTTAGTTGTTGTCAACTTGACACAAACTAGAGTCATCTGGGGAGAAGAACGTTCAGTTGAGGAACTGTCTCCATTGGATTGGCCTATGGCCATGTCTGAGAGGTATTTTCTCTTCTTTTTTTTCTTTTTTTTTTTTTTAAGATTTCTTTAAACCCTTTTGTTTTATTATTTTAACGTCCTTGCCAGTAAGCAGCACTGCTCCATGGTGACTGCTTCAGCTCCTGCCTTGACTCAAGTTAACCAACTTTTTGGTCAGTATTTTATCATAGCAACAGAAAGCAAACTCCAACACCCCACCTCCTCTTCTCCCAGAATTTACTTCCCCTGAACCCAAATATCCCATAGAGGTTAGCATACACATTCATAAAGGTTTTTTGCAAACTCTTTCCTTCTCTATTCTTTCCTAGCTTCTATCCAACAACTGCATCGCAGACATCTTAATCATCCATGTAGCACCTCACTGGATTGGTTCCAAGCTGAATTTATCTCCAATTCCCTAAATCTTCCATCAATTGTTTTAAACTGTTCCTTCTCACAGCCTCCAACATTTCACCACCTCACTAATATCATCACTAAAGGAACAACTAATATTTATTCAGCACTAGGAATGTACTACAGACCGCGTCAAGGGCATTTCATGCGTAATTTCACTTGATCCTAAACCTTACTAAACAGGTATTATGACTGTTCCTAAGTTTGGGGGAATCAAAACTCTGAATTGTAATTCTAAGGGCAAGTGACATAATTCAATTACTCTTCTGACTCCAAGACCAGCTTAACTACTGCACACCCATACCCCAAGTCAAAAAACTAAGGGATCATCCTTCTCTCATTCATCCTATCTGGTCACTTACCGATCCATATCTCCTTAATGTCCCATCAGCTCTCTTCCCACTGCCTTCACAGACTGACAGCTAGCACTAAGTTCTTACTACACACTATGCACTATTCAAAGTGCTAGACACATTTTTTTCAAGTTTCCAAATCCTAATCCATGAATGTAAGGGACAAAGAAGTTGCCCAATGAGAGACAAAACTTTTCCAAAACCAGATATGAATGGACAACCCCTGCACTGTACCAGCCTCCCTTTCATCTCTCATCTTTCATCTGGATTCCCATCATCCTCCACACTGCTGCAGTTATCTTTATGGAATGCAAATGTTATGATGACATTTTCCTGTTTGAAATTAGCTGCTCAGTATCACTGATTGAATAAAGTCCAAATGTCTTGATGTGATACACAAAATTCTTTTTTTTCTGCTCATCGGTTCAACAAATAAGGAATCTGAGTGTCCAGTGTGGATGAGACAAAGTGCCGTGAACTCTAAAATGAATAACACACCATCCCCTGACTACTACTTCAACCCCAAACCCTGTATCCTTCAGCCTGACTTCCTGTAGGCACAGCTGAAAACATCATACCCTACATACTGTCCTGGTGAAATCCCACACCAATTTGAAGCTGATGACTTCTCTGACAAACTACAAGCAGAAATACTTTTAAGTTCCCCATGACTTTGTTCAAATTACTTTCAGGTAATTAATAGAAGTATATGGACCTGTTTCCATAAGGTCTTTTATATATTTTTATTATAATTTATGTGTATGAGCACACTGTCTGCATATAAGTGCACCCATGTTGTGCGATGGCCAGGAAGGACAGAAGAGAGTGTCGGATCCCCTGGTACTACAGATGGTTAGCTCCAGCCATGCAGGTCTGGGAATCGAACCCAGTTCCTCTGCAAGAGGAGTCAGTGCTCTTAACTGCTGAGCCATCTCTCCAGCCCCCAATAAAGTCTTCTGAGGAACTTCAGGCAAGAAGTGATCCCTGCCACTAATGCTTGCTATGCACAAGACTATTACTGAATATATAAAAAATGTTCAAACCTGTAAAGGAACAATATACAGAATTTGAATGTTAACATGCAAATGGACTGAACTAAAAGTAATGTTATTCCACTGCTGTTCTGACTTGGCCTATATTTGACCCCTATGGGAAAACGCCTATGTGGAACTTGGACAAGTTCAAAATGGCAAAACTTTGTTGGTTCCGGCTCAACACTTCGACAGCCAAAGAGGACAGGAGACTCTCCTCCTCCTTTACCTGCCAAAGTCCTTTTTCCAAAGGTGGTGGGGAATCAAATCTATCAAAGTAAACAGATCTACTGAGAACCAACTTCATCAGGGCTGTCACCCTACAAGCAAGAGAAAAGCAAAATCTGTCCTGGGAAGAAGGCCAATTCCAACTAAGGACTACAGCTACAAGAATGTGAAATTCTTAAAGTGAAGACAGTTCCAATAAACTGGGGCTCACAAATGTTTCCTCCAACTGTACTTGCCATGGATTTCACTGAGCTTTGTTTCTTGCTTTCTGTGATTTCCACAACGAAAAACTGATTCTGTGAAGTCATGCAAAAGCTTCCTTTGGTTCCTGGCAGACACAATCTTAAACGCAAACTGAAACACTAGAACAGTGCATTAAAAAGTCCTTGTGGAAAACGTGGCAGAGAGCTCTGAAAAGCGAGTGATGCATTTCCCAAGTGGTGCTCTGTACACAAATGCTTCCAAACCGAGATCTGTATTTTGAAATAACCACCTGGAAGACGTCAAATCTCTCTCTGGCGTGAAGGGGCAGGTGAGATTTCTCAGGCTGGGGCTGAGAGACCTCTCCCCAACCCTTCCAGAGAACCAAACCCACCCTGCGGGCAGCTCGTGCCACTCTAGTTCCCGACAATATACACTCCTGAGTGGGAAAACTCATCCCCACACACCCCTTCCTTAAAAAGCAAACAACGCAAAGATCCACACCACAGGCTCCCGACCCCGCCGGCCGCCTTCCACGCGCAGCCCCACACAGGGCAGCGCCTCTTCCAAGCCGCACCCGGCTCCACGAGGCCCCGGCAGCGCAGGCGAAGCCAGCCGCGGACCTCGGCGGTTCCGGCGGCGCCGCTGGGCCGCCTCCCAGGCGCGGCGCGCCCCACACCCCGCCGCCGCCGCCCGCACCTGAGGCGGCCGCCCGGAGCCGACAGGAGAGCGCGGAGCAAGGCGGGCGGGCGAAGTTACTCACTGGAAAAGCGCGGCTGTCCCGAGGGAGCAAGGGCTCCCGGCACCGCAGGCCGCTGAGAGGCAGACGGCCCGGCTCCTCTCCGCCGGGACCGTCTCAGCCGCAACGGCCGCCGCCGCGGATTTCCTGGCAAGAAGCAAACTCTGGCCAAGATTTCACTTCTCAACCGCCCCTGCTGCTTCCCCGGGTCCAGCGCAGGGGCCCGGGTCCAACCCGACACGCACCTGAGCGTATCAGCGACGGCGCAGGGCGGGCAAGAGGTGGGCCGAAAGCAGCTCCGCCAATCCGGAAGTTCAGGGGCGGGGCTAGGCTCGCTCGTCACTCCCGAGTTAGAGTGAGCCCACTCCGCCCCCTCACGCTGCCCTCCCCCTCCGCGCAGGCTGCCTTGTTGCTGGTCCGAGTCCCGAACCCTAGACGTTTGGGATGAGTCTGCACGCATCCCCGAGGGTCGCGAGGGCTGTGGAACAGCTGGAAGGGAGGGCGGGCTAGGCGAGTGGGGTGAGAACAGGTGGCGCGGAAATGTAGGTGTGTTGGGAGAAAGGACAGCTGGGGTAGGGCGGGGACCTGGCCAGGTCAGGATCCCCGAGGGCGAACACCTCAAGGATGGCGAGCAGGGTGCTGAAGGAAGGAGGGGGTGCGGTGAGCGAGGCGGGGCTGCGCACCTGGGAACGAAGGTGAGGCTTTGGGATCAAAGAGTACAGGGAACGCCTAGTCCACCGCGGGGACGCACACGTCCTGGGCGCAGAAAGGGCCCACGGGAAGAAGACGGTGAACCGGAACGGGGGACAGTTCTCCCTCAGAAGACGCTGCTCCTTGACCTAATTGAGAGGTGCACTTGCCCCCCAGAGAGGAAAATACCGTCTTAAGCCACAGTATTGTTAGGAAATTCGTCTCTGCACCTTAGTCCCCCTACTTTTTTCAAGGTGTTCGGGGTCCTGGGAAATGTCCCTAGGGGAGAACCCGCCCCGGAGTAATATGGTCCCTTGCGGGTCTAGCTAGATAAAAGCCAGACTCTGACACTAAATAGGTGACTGGGGGTCACACGCGCGGCCCTGCCTTCCCCACTAGTCCGCTGCCTACTGGCCTAGCTGGGCCGGGGTGAAGGCACTGCACTCTGTACCCCCCCCCCCCCCCCCCCCCGCTCCCGCGCGATCTGTACCCATCCTGAGTGTCTGGCAGCGGCTGCGCCAGGTGAGCTGCCCGCCCCGCTCGGGGACAGACGCCCCGCCCCCTCGGCCGGGCCTTGTCGCGCCGCTGCGACTCCGCCCCCCTCCTTCCGTCGGCCGCTCCTTCCGTCGCCGGTTTCTTCCTGTTCTGTCGGCTCATTTCGCGACATGGACAAGAGCGTCCTTTTAACCAGCACCACCTGAGGATCCCTGAAGCCGCCCCGCAATGGAAGAGGACCAGGAGCTGGAGAGGTTAGCGAGGAGGGAGTCAACGGGGTGGCGGGCCGGGCCAGGGAGTGGGTAGCGGAGGGGCACGCGGCCGGTTGCGGCCCAGCAGATGTCTGCGGCCCGGCGTGCTGAAGTGGCCTGGCCCGGCGCTCGGAGGAGGGGGAGAAGGACCGACCGGGATTGTGTAGACCGGAGGAGGGGACGTGGGTGTGTTTACAGAAAAGTTGAGGTGCACTAGCCATCTGGGAGGGGAGAGAAGTTGAGAGACCAGAGCTCAGTCCCAAACTGCCACCCCAACCCCCACCCCCGACCCCCCATTTAGAACTGCCTCGTGTAAAGTCAAGCACCAGGTCATTCTCCCTGGGTGCTGGTAGTCTAGCCTGAGTTCCTGTAACTCGCCCACGGTCCTTCTCTGTGCAAACTACTCCTAAGTCCTCTATCAAGTTCATTTTCTTCCTCCTGCTAGACTTAACAGTTTTCACTTCCGAGTTTGCCTGCCTCTTTTTTTTTTTTTTTTATTTTGAGACAGGGTCTCAGCATATAGCCTTGGCCTAGAACTCAATTCAGTATGTATACCAGTTTGGCGTGAAATTCGTAAGAGATCCGCCTACCTCTGCCTCCCATGTTCTGGCATTAAAGGAGAGTTTGCAACCACCACCCCTAGCCGCTTATCTCTTAATGGAGGCTGTGGTTGGGCCAGCACGTGCCAGCCCCTTGAAAACTTTTTTCCATTTTTTAAATAGGTTTTTTTTTTTTTTTTTTTTTTTGGCTCCTCAACTCCCTTTTAATCTTTCGGCAGAGCCTACCTTATTGTAACCTTGCCCCGTTCTTGTGCCAAAAGAAGAGTTTTGTGAACATTTCACTTGGTTTATCTGGAAAGACACCCTTTGTGGAGATAAGTTAAATATTTACGGATAGAAGTTGTGAAGGCAGGAAAATTGAGAGGCTGATGGTTCTGTGTAACTGCATCAATATGTTGTGAGTTCTGTGTAGTAAATCTTAAAAAGCTAGTCAGAAAGCATTATTCCATATGATCTCATTCTTACAAAAACAAATATGTGTGTAGAAAAATATCAGGATTGAAGACCTCAATGGCTGAAGGCGAGAGGAAGACAGCCCTGGAAATGGTCCAGGCAGCTGGAACAGATAGACACTGTGTGACATTTGTATTGCACGAGGAGGACCATACCCTAGGAAATTCTCTGCGGTACATGATCATGAAGAACCCAGAAGTGGAATTTTGTGGTTACACTACGACCCATCCTTCAGAGAGCAAAATTAATTTGCGTATTCAGACACGGGGTGCTCTTCCAGCTGTTGAGCCGTTTCAGAAAGGCTTGAATGAGCTCATGAATGTCTGCCAGCATGTGCTTGACAAGTTTGAGGCCAGCATAAAGAACTATAAAGATCAAAAGGAGAGCAGAAATGAATCCACATTCTAGTTCCTTATACAGGATGCAAGCAGGACTGTCCTCATGATGGTTCAGAAGCCAAAATTAGACTTGGTGACTACAGCATGTCCTGTCCTATAGAACAATGTGGTTCTAGTTTTTGACCCATTATAGCTATTGGAATCTTGCAAGTGTGTTCACCTAATAAATTCTCTCTTTTGTTTAAACTAGTTTGAGTGATTTCTATTCTTTATACCTAGATGTTCCTCAAGGATGACTCTCTCCTCCTTAACTGAACCAACATTGAAAGTGAGAGACCATGAGAAAATTGGACTGAGATAAGGATTTTGATCATGGGAATAATATTTTTAATTACATGTTCTTTGAGAGTGTACATGTGTGCACAGACATGCCGTGATACATATGTAGAGGTTAGGGACAACTTGGAAGAGTTAAGTTCTCTCCTACCAGGTAGAGATTGAAACTCAGGTTGTCAGGCTTATCAGCAAGCCTTTACCCACTGCCCACTGAGCAATCTTGCTGGCCCCAGGTTTTTTCTTAGTGACAAATGCATCCTTTGCTATGATTGGTAGATTGAGTAAAGGTGGGGAATAATATGAAAGACTTGTGAGAATTTTGGAAAGACAATTTTAATTGCTATCAAGCTCCATCTTTGTAGCTGAAGCCTTTATAGGATAGATACCAGTTTACTGCTTGAATTTCAGTGCACTAATGAAACATAGTCATGACTTAAGTAAGCCAGACAACTTATTTTGCATATGTATGGGCATGTTCATGTGGGTGCACATGTGTACATATGGACACCAGAGATCAACATTGAGTAAGGTTCCTCAGGAACCTTTGTTTTGTTTGGGTTTTGCTTTTGCTCTTCTGTGTGTTTTTTATGTGACACGGTCACACTCTAGCTTCGGCTACATAGATCTGCCTAACTCTGCCCACATGCCACCAAACCTAACTTTTTAAAGTGGGTTTTAGGTTTTGAACTCAGGTCCTCATGCTTTCATAGCATGCCCTTTACCAACTGATCCATCTCCCTGGCCCAATTTTAATTATTAGAAAACTGGGATTATCAGATAACATTTTCAGTCCTTAGGTAGGTGCCCAAGTATAGCCTGGGGGCACACAGAAGAAACATTTGTTATAAACTAAAAACTTGAAGAAGGGAAAGTCTGTATGGAAGAAAGGACTTTTTTTTTTTTTTGAAAACTTAAAATATTAGCAAATTACATCTAAGAATCATCCTTTTTACCTCTTTAATCTTATAACTGTCCCTCCCAAACGTGACCCTTAATTCACCCTAAATGTTTGTCAACCCTTGAGCTCTGTGCTCTGGGGCCTTTGTTGATGCTAGTCTTAAGTCAACTTAATTGTTAGTTGGGGATGGTGGTGCAAGTCAGAATAATCCTTGTATTGAGAAAACTGAGGCAGGAAGATTACAAGCTGGACCAGACTGACATACATAGCAAGACTGCTCAGAAAACGCCACCAATAACAAAATATATAGTTGCCAAACTTCCCAGCCCAATTTGAGTACCCCCCTCCTTAAAAAAAAAAAAAAAAAAAAAAAAAAAAAAAAAAAAGACTGTCTTGAACTCTTGGTGATCTCTATGCCTCAGCCTCCTCAGTGCTAGAATTAGAGGAGTGAGGTATTGCTGGTTTTTAGTTTGGGTACTTCTGTGTGCTTTCATTATACTGTCTCTTCTTGATATTGGCTTTATTTTTAGTGTTTGTATTGTCTGTCCATTCTACCAACCTGCTCATCAATGTATATGATCCTACTATGTAGCATAACACTTTAGATTTTAGCTATTTGTTGAATGCGAGATATATCTATGTAAGTAGGTATGGCATGAAGTCAATTCAGTCAAATTTGACCAAGCCTGCTAAACATTCAACCCGTATTTCCCACTCAGTCCACTTTTTTAAAAGATGGTTTTGTACTTAAGTGCCTGGTTTGTACCAGGCCTTGAGGGTAGACATAGTAGTCAGAGCTTTTTTTGAGTTGTAGTTCTGAGAAATAAAATAAATACAGGGTCAAGTAGAGAACTTGAGAGGAGTCTGCATTAGGCACAGAAATCAAAGTTCTTCCCAAGATTATAGGGAGGAAGGAATTGATTGCAAAAGCTCCTGACATGAAAATGATGATTTGAGGAATGGAAGGTTCTAAAAGATTTGCATGTTTTAGTTAATAGGCAAGGAGGAGAAAGGCCTATTCTGGATTCAGTAGAAGAACTGGAGTGATAATTTACTTTTATTATATAGGGGTTCAGGGTAAATATAACAAAGCCAGAGTAGAAGCAGAGGTACGCTGTAAGAGTTGAAGTGGCATGGGAAGGCAATAAACTCGTAATAGTGGAAAGAGTATCCTCAGGAACTGGGTGTGGAAGACAAGGAAGCAGGTGACTGACTCCCACCTAGGATTGGGGCCAGTTACTAGAATGGGGAGAAAAACATGTATTTGAGCATTGTAGGCAGTTGAGTTGATGGGGCCATGGAAGAGATGCAATCCTGATCATAAAGGAGAGTGACAAAGAATGGAGCCTTAAACAAGGCCCTGGCCAACCTCAGTATTAAAATATGGTTAAAATGGCAATTGGTGCTTCTGGAGATACGGCTCAGCAGTTAAGAGCACTAGCTGCCTGTGCAGAGGACTTGGGTTCAGGTCTCAGAATTCACATGGCGGTAACAACCACTGTTAACTCCAGTTCCAGGGATCGAACATCATTTTCTGACCTCTGGGCATTTACATCATGTGCAATTGAAACACTCATACACATAAAATAAAAATAAACACTTTTTTTTTTTTCCCCAAGAAAGAGTAACTGGTAAAATGGTAAGGGAGCCTTCAGAAAGTGGAGCTGTAGAAGCCAAGGCATTCAAAATGGGGAGAGTAGTGTTGAATGAGTCACCTGAGCAATAAAGTATTGGTGAGCTGGGGGTATAGCTCAGTGGTAGAACACTTGCCTTGCATGCACAAGGCCCTCAATTTGATCTCTTGCACTGCAAAATAAGTAAAAATAAAACTGCTGCTTTGTAGGGCTGATCACACACCTGTCAGGCAGGCTCTGAGTTCCAGAGCAGCCTGGTCTGCGTCGTGAGACCCTGTCTCAAAAAAAGGAAAAAAAAGGGGCGGGGGGTGGAGTTAGCACAGAGGCTACTGGACTGTGGGCACATTCATTTGGTGCCTAAAGGGCTTTCTGCTGAGAAATGGCTTGCTTTGAGTTTTCTAATAAATAACATATATGTGGCCATTAGAGAGGTTACGTAGGAGCAGGGATGATGAAAGATTAGAGTCACAGGGCAAACATGGAAAATAATCTAGGGTGAAGATTTTTGAAAGCCAACTTCAAGGAAGCTTGGAAGATGTAAGAAAACCCATGTGTGGAAAATATGGTGACCATACTTTCTGGTGACCACCACCATCTCAAGACTCCATTGTAGTAGAGGATTTAGTGTCATTAATCCTGTGACATGCACAGTATTGAATTTGCTTAGGGTGGCCATGAACACATGTTCACATAAAACACCTTCAGAAAGCAGATGGGGGAAGGGAGAAAACAGGCAGAACAAACAGGATAATCGACTCTGATGTAGGGAAGGAATTGGTGCACGAAGTCTCTAGGCACTGAAGAAGGGTAGAAGTGGTCCTAAAAAAGAATGAGGGAGATGGACTTGAATCATATTTATATTAACTGGAAAGAAATTACCTATTCAGTAACTTACTTGCTCTCTAATAACATTTCATTCAGAATAAACCAGTGAAGTGTTAATGATTCAAGATCAGAAATTGTTTATCCGTAAAATACTGTGCCCTTTAAAGAGCCAGTTATTAAATATGTCTGCATTCCAACGGCTTTTAATTTCTAATAATTTTGAGTACTTGTTGAGCACTTTGCATTTTCAAAGCACTTTGCAAAATAGTTATAAATCACATATAGCTGTAACATCTAAGTGCCCTAATTAATTGACATAATACAGACTCTGTAGAGAAGAAAATTGACTAAATAAAAAGTTGTCAATTTAGTGCCTACCCACATTACCTTGCATTTCAAGAGAGAGATGAAAGCATATCAGATTCCTTGACCCACAATTTCCCATGTTTCTTTTCGATTCACCTATTGTTATAGTCTCCAGGTCATTAGACAAAAGTCATCTTTTTGGTTAGCATTATATTAGATTCAAATGATCTTTGGAACATCCTTCAAACTGAACCATCATGAAGTGTACCCAGATCTACCAGCTTGCTTTCCAACGACCTATAATAACTCAAAATGAAGCTCTTTTCTGGTCAAATTCAATGATGAAATGCCTCTCAAACCTAGACCGCTGAACCTCAAATTATTTATATAGTAGGTATGTACCTAATAGCAGTTCTAAGAAATGGTGAAAAGAAAAGAATCTAATGAGGCTGTTCTAAAAGGCCTTCAGTGGTTTGGGACAGGGCAAAGGAGTTGTACATACAGAAACAGGCAAATTGTATTTACAATAAAGTATCCCAATATGTACTATTTAATGGGTAAGTGCTGAACATGGAACAGATAAGACCCTCTTAGGGCAATCATCTCATGAGTACCTGCTCTCTCAGACCTATCCTAGGCACTGAGGATAGCAATGAAGACAGGTGTAGGCTGCTTTCCGGGAACTCATCAAATGTTGAAGTTGGTGGACTGAAAAGGAAAGTGTTCAAGAAAAAATGAGTTTCCTCTTTCACAGTGTAAAGGTGCCATTAGCTGGGCCTGGTGTTTCATGCCTATAACACCAGCTACTTGGGAGGCCAAGGTAGGAGGAGCTCACATTCAACAGCCTGGACTGCAGAGTAAGTTAAAAGGCTAGCTTGAGCAGCTGAGACTATGTCTTTAAAAAGTGGTGCTTACCTTTAATCCCAACACTCAGGAGGCAAAAGCAGGTGGATCTCTGTGACATCGGGGTCAGCCTGGCCAAGTTCCCAAGCCAGCTGGGGCTACAAGGAGACCCTCTTTCAAACAAAAAAAATGGGGGAAAAAATGACTTTAAATGTAGCTCCATGCTAAAGTTCTTTCCTAGCATGGACAGGCCGGGAGTTTGATCCCCAACAGCAGCACCCCCCTTTGCACATGAGTGCGTGCATGCATACACACACACACACACACAGACACACACACACACAGCTATTTTAAAATTTTTATGAAAGAAAAAGGAAGAGGCTAGAAAGATGGCTTAGCTATTAAGAG